CTTCCTAATCAAACCCAAGTTGGCAACGGTGCCATTTGATAAGCAGAATATTTCTAAGCTGTTTGATTCAAAGCCCCAGACCAAGATAATGATGTAGTATAGTGGTAAGGGGTATCAATCCAGCCTAGGTTGTAGAAAGACACTAAGAATGCAAGAGCAATGCAAAGCTAAGCAGATTCGGGTAAATGAGGGAGAAATTCTACAAAAACTAAATGCAATGCGAAGTGAACAAAAAAACTATTTTAAAATCCCTGGAAAAGGGTTAACAACTACTAAAAGAAAACTGAGAATTTAAAAATCAAAACTACTAATTACTAAAAATCAAGATCTAAAGGGGGTAAATAGAGAACTTCTAGCAACTTAAAGTGATATGCAATGAAACTAAAGTGAAGATGCGAACTTTAAGACTTGGAAATTAAAACTTGAGGTTTTGAAATGCTAAAAGGAAGATCTAAGGTTGAGGGTCATAATAAGAATGTTAAAGATTCAACCTTGGGGTTTGAAAACATAAATCTACACTTTTTGTGCTATCTCTAAGCCTTGAGAAATTAAAATAGATCTATCCTTGGTGTATGGTATAGATCCCTTCCTCAACCTCTCCTCCTAATCCATGGTGTATAGTGGAAAAAGAAGACGAAGAGCATAAATCATAGATCTCAAAAAGTGGCTTAACTAGCTCCCTAAGCATCCATGGTGTGTGGAAAAGGATGAGTTAGTCTCTTGGATTTGGTTTTCAGAGACTCCTGAATCCTGCTAAAGTAAGGAGATCTCTAAGATCATAAAGATCTTTCCCAAGAATCTTTAAGCATTAACCCCTCAAATCCAAGAAGAGAATGAGTTAAAAACAAGAAAAACTCCCAAGCTTAAACCCTTAAACCCTCTTAATCGCCCCAACCTTAAACCCAAAGAGAAACTACTCACTACTCATGATTAAAACCGATGGAAATGTAAGGAAAAGAAAGCTAAACATGATTAAAAAAGATAGATTAAGCAAATACTCAATGATTAAGGAAAGATTAAGGTTTTAAAAACAAGAAAAGCTTGAAATCGTAACAATGGAGGTTTTTCGCCTTAGACAATAAGAAAAGCTAAAAAGGTCCAAGACAAATCGAATGGATGAGAAACGATTGCCTAAAATGGCCAAAACATCAAAATGGTCCCCCCACAAGAGTCCAAAAATGACTTGGCCGGATAAGGTTGTAGAGATCGAGCTGAGTCGTCGATCTGGTCACTCGATCTCTCGGCTAGAACGGCTGCTTTTGCTCGATCCTTGGGTCGATTCATGAGGGTTAATCGAGTGCTTCAGTCGATCTTCCAGTCGATCCTCGGATGATCGGGTCATGAACGCGATCTGGCTCTCGTTCTGCTTGATTCACGTCCGTACACACGATCGATCACCTTGGTCGATCTTGAACTCGATCCCTTCCTTGAAACGATCCGGGCTTAGTCGATCTTCTGGTCGATCTCATCTAGATCGACCTGCCTAGCTCGATCTACCTCTCGATCTCAGTTCCCTTGTAGCAAGGCTGATTTCTCCTAAGTGTCCACGAGCTCCTCTTTGATCCTTAGCATGTCCACAAACTCTCCACAGCTCGAATGTGTCCAAAACAACCTGAATATGATGCAAAAATGCAAGAAACGTGCAAATGCTAATGCAAAAGTGCTCTAGGACCTAAAATGGTGCAAACTAGCCTATTATGCAAGATGAATGCATGAAAACTACACTAAATGCATAATAAATATGCTAAATATATGAGTATATCATGCTACTTTGAATCTTTGCTTCTAGCTTAAGGGGATGGAAGGATGACTTGAATGATGGAAAGTCAGGTTGAGCTTAATGACCACAAACTCCAAAGATTAGTTTCTGCTATCTCAAGGGCTAATCCACGCAAGATTATAAAAGATTCTACACAAATCTTCAAAGCTGATTCCACAACACTTAGAAGAAAAGCAGGAACAAGTTTATGTTGCAAAGACTTTCTTTGTAAACAAAAACAAATGGGTTTTAATTTCATTAATAATTCTTGGGTGACTTGAAAATACAAATGTTTGAGCTTATATAAGGCTCAAACTTAGGTAAATAAAACGGTAATAATCTTTAAAAACAAAGCAAAGAAAGAGGCATAAGTGATGGGAAATGTTAACTAGCCATTTGGCTTAAATGGGGATGATCTTGACTTGGGTGCTGAAAGAGGGTTTGTTGATGGGTCTTTGGCAAGAAATAAATGTGTTGAATCTTCTAATGATGATGAATGTTTGGTATTAAGTGAGAGATGTGGTCGCTGGTCTTCAAGAATCCTTAAACCAAGATAATTGGTTCTAAGAAAGGAAACTTTCTTCTTGGTGAGATCTTCTTGGTTCTGGTTTGATTGAGCTCGGCTATTGACTTGGTCTGGTGGTTTGAAACCTTTGGTATCTTCTGTGGACGTCAGGGAAGGCAAATGATAAGTGGTGATATAAGATATGCTCATGTTTTTCTTAAATGACTCTGGATATACACATCTAGGTCCATGTGCATATATGAATGTCTTGAAAGGTTTCTCCTGGTTATTGGCGTGGTTTAATGATTCTGAAGTCTTGAAATGTCTCCTGGTGGCTGAATATAATGGTGAGTCGAATATAATGGCATGTGGTTCCTCCTTTCCTTAGATAACTCTAATGTAGCTCCATTTGGTGGTTTAAAGCAATTTGGTGGTTCTCCTTGGTTAAGTGACGACTTGTATTGAACCAGCTCATCTTTGGATTGATCAGAAGGCTCCTTTTGATGATCAGAATGATGGCATTTTGATATATACTCCTTAGCTTCTTCAAATACAGCTACAAGTCTCTCATTCTCCACAGCTACAAGCAAGCTTGGCTCCAGTTTGGTATTTAAATGTCCTCCAATGTCTAACGGAGATTAGATGGTACTGATTCTTACATCAAAAGATGCATGATGAAAGTCTGAAAATAATCCGCCTCGCGTTCCTTATGTGAGTTGAATTGTTGCCACTGCATCGCGATCTATAAACCGGGGAGCCACAACTCCAGGTCTTTGGTTACATTGTAGTACGTCAATTTTAGTTTTATGGCATTGCCGAGATGGACATTCGTGATGCAGAGTGCGAAAGGGATTCTCTGTGTGTATGCCAAGATCTTGGCAATCTTTGGTGCCAAGCTGGTTACGCGGTGTATCTAGGACCTGATAACATCAATTCTTTGATGTAGCTTAGCTACTTCAGCATCCACTTCAGCTGGTGGCGTCTCTACTACTTGGCATGTGGCATTTCTGCCGTGATGTCCAAGGTTTGTTGTTGCTCCTACTGTCCAAACGTTTGGTGTATCGCCAAGTCGAGTCTGTGCCCAATGGGGGTCCTTGGTCCTTCGGTTACCATGAGATTCAGCTGCTCTTTATGCATGGCTTGCTGATTTTGCAAGTTTTCCAATTTGAAGGTGATGTCTTGGGTGATTCGCTGTAGAGCTGCTTGGATCGAGGCGGTAAGATCGGCGGTGGTGATTGGTGTAGGTGGTCTGCGACCGTTGGTAGCATGCGTTCTTCCTTTATCACCAGATTACTGTGCTTGTCCATGGCGTGGGATTTGGTTTTCTTCATTGTTTCTGAAGTAGATATCTTTGAACTCTTTTTTACTTTTAAGACTTTATTCTTCGGTACCCCCTCCCAGGAATGTCAATTGTTGAACTAGGATAAAACCTTAGTAACTAAATAATAAATGGTTTAGAGTTTAAGAGAAAATATCTTTATTAAGCTTCCAAATATTTGAAGTGTTTACAAGAAAATAAAGAGATTTAGGTAAAAAAAAATCAAAGTAAGAATTTTTGAACTGAAACGATGTAATTCTAAGCCTTATTCTTCGAGTTCTCTTAGTAATTGTCTGTGTCTTCTTCATTCCTTCAACTCTCCTATTTATAGCCTCCTCATAAGTCGGCTCCATATGATCATTCTTCCTTTTTTTATTATGTAAAACTTCTCCATTAGAATAAGGAATCGTCCTGTTTCCTTTATTTCCTCAGATCTTTCAATATCTTCGAGTAGATTTCTTTTATTCGAGGAGGTTCACTTGATGAACTCCGTATTAATGGATTATCTTTAATGGGAAAGAGCTTTTTAAAGAATATGCTTATTCCAGTCCTAACAATAGATAAACTTGTGATATATATGTAACCCTAGCACGGGTCACAACTTAAGTTTATCTAACGTGAGAGCAAAGAAAATTGATATAAGAAGTTTTTTCTGGTTTGATCCGATCAAGAAACCACTCAAGGTTTTGTGCATGGCTGTAACAAAAGTATAGACAACAAGTTAACTGCAAGGAGCATCAAGTTCTGACGATAGGGAAAGGAGAAGCGTCGTGGAGAAAGATAGAATGTTCATTCCTGCATTACCCTAAAGGATACAGAAATGGGATATGCATCAATGGGGTTTTGTATTGCTTAGCTCGGATCAATACAACTAGGATGGTATCATTCTTTGATGTTGTGTCTGAGAAATTTAGTTTTATCGTGACATACGAAAGTGTTAGATAAGTTGAGATCAAAGGCATTGAAGAGAAGTTATGGGCCAAGATCGGCCTAAACACTCTCCACCTTCTCAAACTATGTTGAGACTTTGATGTTTTTCCAATAAATCTATGTTAAGAATGTGTTTGGTTCTAACTTTTTTTTTACTTTTATGCAATAAATTTGATGTTTATGCAATAAATCAAAAGTCTTTTCTTCATTTTTTTTATGTGTTTGCGACTTGATGGATCTGAAGATTATATATGAAATTGAGTACAACAACAAACAATAAAACTAAGACAACTACCAAATATGTACAATTTTCATTTGTGAAGGAAACAACATGATCCAAGTAATTGCTGTGAACAAAGGCCAAATCAAGAGCTTGCTCGTTTTCTCGAAGTGCAAGTTACTAGACTCATCCCACTGAACAACCCAGATCACGATTTGAAATAACCCGACCGGCTTCTACTGCTCGACGTGATTGCAGGTACCACGATCTAGCTATTCAAATGAGGGAACTCGACTCCGAGTTCTTGTAACCCTCCTTCAACGGTTGCTTCTTCATGATGTTCTTGCGGTTCCACGGTGTCTGCATTCACCGAGAGCGCAAGCCTAACCGATCTTAACCAGTATGCGCAACTGCCCATCACTCCTCTACACTTCTTAATCTTAACTTTAGTTAAAACCGGGACATCCATTTGCAAGATTCTCGATTCCAATATCGGAAATTGGACAGTTCTTAATACATAGTTTCCTCAAACTCGGGCATTTCGCAGCGATGCAAGAAAGCTCAGGATCACCAAACGTATCGCAACCACAAAGTGCTAATCTTTCAAGACTCTGACATTTCTCAGCCAAGATTCCTAAACTTAACGTTGTTGGATTCACTCCAATGAGAACCAGTTCTTGTAACTTAGAGCTAAACTTAGCCACAGACAAAAGCCCTTCGTCTCCAATCAAATTGGCTTTCCATCCATCGATATGAAGCTTACGCAATAGCTTACACTTCTCTGCAATCGCGGTTAATCCGAAATTCGTGCATTCAGGTGTCTTCACAAGGTGCAAGATCTCGAGGCTTGAGCAATTAGAGATTGCAGATAATGCAAGATCACTCACTTGCATCCTTTCAAGATGTATCTCCACTATGCCATGATCCTTGACAGTCATCTTCGGAAGAAGCTTATCCCAATCACCAGAACACCTGAATAGCTTTAAAGATCTGAGATTCTTCGCGCCCGCGATCATCAGACCAAAGCACTGACCATTGTAAAGCTCCTTCAAGCAAATCGACTTAAGAGAAGAAACAGCCACTCCTGGCCCCATTAACTCCAGAGCTATGTCGGTGAATCAACGGAGACGTTTCAATGATAACTCCTCGAGAGAGGCGCAATGATCAAGCACAGCCTTCAAGCCTTTAGCTCCAAAATCACAAGATCCACAAGAGAGGATCTTCAAATCCTTGCAATTCTCAGCGAAAGCAGACATACCTGTGTCAGTGAGCTTATGGCAAGCTATGAGCTTCAGCCTTATCAGGTTTCGACACCGGAGAGAGATTTTGACGAGCGCTTCGTCGCCGATACTCACAGATATACGGTCGCATTTAAGCAAGAGCTTCGTGACAGAATCAAATCGAGAGAAGATGAAAGGGATCGAGGGGAGCAGATCTGAGTGAGAGTGGAGAGATAGACAGTAACGATTCTGTCCTTCGACGATCATCCACCGTCGACAAACGAGAGCACATCTTTTCCGATTACCAGAATTCAGGAACTGGAACACTAACGCTAAGCACTCGTCGGATAAACACAAGGTGTAGTCTGGTGAAACCTCGGATTCGTTGGTTTCGAACGGGAATCTCGAAGAAAGGGATTCGATTCTATGTCGATTAAGAATGGAATTGCCGGCGGCGGAGGTTGATAGGCCCATCCATGGAAGTCTCCGGTCATCAACGGCGGAAGAAGAAAATTCTCGATTTTGGAATATGTCGGTTTGTGGGAGGAGCGTGGTTATAAAGGTAAAGTTGGGAATTAGTTTTTGGAGGATTGTATTGAGTGGCATTGTTTTTTTTTTAGTTCGGTTAATTCTGTTTTGGGCTGTGAATTTTTGTTGTTACAGTAAAACCTCTATAAATTAATAATGTTAGGAATTTAAAAATTTATTAATTTATAGAGTTATTAATTAATCGATAAATTAATAATTATTAATTTATCGAGAAATTAATATTTTATTAATTTATAGAGAGATATTTCAGTTCAAATTCAAAATATTTTTCAAAAAATGAAATAAAATGTTTTCAACAATGTAAAATTTATTCAGAAATTATCATTTCAGTGAATTTGAATAACAAGTCAAATAATTTTTATAAACATGAAACAATAAGATAATTATATTTTACTATATTATATTATTTATATATGCTTGAATGTATAATTATTAATTTATCTAATTATTGAGACTATATTTTTACATAGGAATTTCAAAAAAATTATTGTTTTATTATCTTATCAAAATTTGCTAATTTTTACACTGACCCGATTTGGAACCCGCAAAAATTATTAATTTATAGTAATTATTAATTAATCGAGTATTAATTTATAGAGATTCTACTGTATTGTATGGTTTTTTCATCGGTTTTAACAAGATGGTTCTCTTTGTTGATGTTAGGTTGAGAAATTTGACTTTATTGAAGACGGAGAATGCTTTCTTAAGATTGGAAAAATGGTAAACTATAACGGTAAATTAGGTCTTATTAACTGCAATTATCAAGTCGATGAGTTGTGTTTGTGCATTCTGGAGAATGCTGAGAAAACGGGAATGGTCAAAACATGTCTACAATTTGGCAGAGTGTAGTCGTTGATCTCCGCAAATTTTCTGTTGTTGGAATGACTGCTACAGGTGATATTGTTTTGTGGATATATAATGCATCTTGTTTTTGTTTTTGATCAACATTGATTGATTCCATAACTGGATCTATCAGTCGTTCAATGTTGATCAAAAACAAAGACAAGAACACAATGGTTCTAAAGACAAGAACAAATTACTGCAATTTTCTATTCATATTGATTCAATAATACAATGGTCTTATATACGCAGTAGAAGAAATAAACTAACTGCCGATTACTACAACTATAACACCTAACTAGTGGAAGACAGATAAGCTCCATCGTGTTTACGTACGTAAGAGGAAGAATCAGTTGCCAGAAGCAGAGGAAAGTCAACACGGGTCAATGGATGACGTGGAATGAGCTGTGATGGCAGCTGAGTTGACACATGCGGACGGAGAAGTGTACGTGTAAGAGAAGAAGATGAATCGAAGAAGACGTATAAATAGTATTCGTTGATTCATTAGAAAGATTATCCAGAAATTTGCAGTTGTAACAGAATTGGCCTGTGAGCAGTTCTCCAGATTCTTATGTGAATTTGGTGATCTCGATCGCATGTGATCGACGATCTACTTCTGTAATTATTCATATACATTCTTTCATTCAATAAAAGAATCAATTCTGAGAAGATCGAGTATCGTTACTCTATCATTGGTGCGGCGAAACTGTGATCGAATCAAACGCAAAACGATGCCACCGTGACAAGCTGAAACAAGTCGTTGGATCAACGGAGGAATATGATTCCGGCAATGAAGAAGCAACGGAGTCAGCGACAATCGATCGAGTCGAGATTCTACACGAAGGATTCAAACATTTATGGGAATCGAAGGTGGAGGCGGAAGCGAGAATGGCGGATATGGACAGGAAGCTGAATAAGGTGCTTTCATTCATCGAATCGCTGGATCCAGATGCAATTCAGAAGGAGAAGCGTTTGCGAACAGATCCAGGACCGTCATCTCCGCGAAATGAGGTAAATCGATCTCACTTGGAATCAAACCGGGATGAGATGCGAGTGCTTTCCGGGAAACATCCGTATGTGTGAATTACAGATGTGGAAAGATTCTTTTGCATCGGCCGGTATTCAGATGCAGAGAAGCTTGATTTGGTAGCTCTGAGTTTAGAAGGGAGAGTCCGTAAGTGGTTTGGTTGGGAGCTGAAACGCAAAGGATTTCGTAGCTGGACAGCGTTTAAAGAGAAGCTGGTATTGCGTTTTACTGAAACGATTGAAGAAGAGCCGGCGATTAGACTATTCAAGATCAAACAAACAGGATCAATTGGGGATTACATTAGTGAGTTTGAAGAACTGTCAGAACTGGTATCAGGATTGGATGATGATCACCTCATCAAGATTGTCTACAACGGATTGAATCAAGAGATGAAAGAAGTGATCAGAATGAAAGAACCAAAGGGCTTAGAGAATCACATTGCAGCAGTTCTGCGGATGGAATCGAGTGCCTTCTGCAAGGTGGTGAGCGAGTCAGCAGTGGCAGAAAAGGGAGAACATAAGACAGTTCATGCGAATCCACTGAAATCATCATCAACATATAACTCTCGCCGTCAATATTTTACACCGGATAACAGAGTGGTGATGAGTAATAATCAACAAACGCAACACAGCCAACAGAAACACGTGTCTACAGGACAACAAAGATATATTGAGGATAGACCGAAACAGAAGTTTACTCCAGAAGAGTTAGATCAGATACGCAAAGACTTCAAATGTAAAGCCAAAGATTGGACCTGAGCTCACAAGTATGGCAACAGGGAGATAAGGGTGTTGACTGTGGTTAATGGGATGGAAATGGAAGTATTGGATGATGGTGACTCAGATGAAGAGGAAGAAATCATCTTATTACAAGCCGCACAGGAGTTGAGAGTGCTATCGTTGAACTCTTTCTTGCGAATAAGTTCACCAAAGACAACAATGCTTAACGACAAGATACACAAAACTGACGTGATTGTGATGCTTGATAGTGGCGCATCACATAACTTCATCACACCTGAGTTAGTTACCAAACTACGGTTAGCAGTGTGTGAAGACCCAAGCCTAGACATATTGTTAGGCAACAGGGTAACAGTGAAAGGCATATGAATGTGTCCCTCTGTTATGTTTCAGTTAGCAGAAACTGATTTCACGTCAGACTTTATAGAGTTGGAATTGGGTATGATTGATGTTATTTTAGGAATTCAATGGCTCGAGACATTAGGCAAGTGTGAAGTGGATTGGAAGAAGCAGGAATTTTCGTTTGTCTATGAGGGCAAGAGGGTGGAATTATTCGGAGATCCTACCATTCACACTTCCAAATTCTCAATGAAGACATTGTCTCCTATCTCCGGTAATGGTTCAAAAGGAAGAGTAGAGCTTTTGTCATTACAAAAAGAGGTAACACCAATCATTCCAGCTATTCCTGGAGCGCTAATACCACTACTAGAGGAATTCGAACATGTGTTTCCTTTGCCAACGGGATTACCACCATTCAGAGGCAAAGAACACGCCATTAATCTCTATTCAGACGTTACAATAATTTCAGTACGTCCGTATCGATATCCTCACGCGACTAAAGTGGTAATGGAGAAGATGGTATTGGAAATGCTAGAATTCGGCATTATCGGACCTAGTACTAGCCCATTTTCAAGCCCAGTACTATTGATAAAGAAGAAAGATGCTTCGTGGCGACTTTGTATCGACTACAGGGCATTAAATAAAGCAACTATTCTGGAAAAGTTTCCCATACCGGTGATTGATCAGCTCCTTGATGAATTGTACGGAGCCACCATCTTCTCAAAATTGACTTTAAGATCTGGGTATCATCAGATACGAATGGAAGAAAGAAACATTGTAAAAACAACATTCAAAACTCTCGAAGGTCACTACGAGTTTTTAGTGATGCCATTTGGACTGACAAATGCACCAGCCACATTTCAAGCTCTTATGAACAAGATATTCAAACTGTTTCTACGCAAGTTCATTCTGGTCTTCTTCGATGACGTCTTAATTTACAGCAAGACGATTCAGGAACATGCAGAACATTTGAAAGTGGTACTAAAGATTTTTGAAGAGCAGAGCCTATTAGCCAATAAGAAAAAGTGGTCATTCGGGCTGATGAAAGTAGAGTATTTGGGTCACATCATATCTAAAGAAGGTGTGACAACAGACTCAACTAAGACGTCGGCAAAGAAGGAGTGGCCAGCACCAAAAACTGTGAAGCAGTTGAGGGGTTTTTTGGGTTTGACAGGGTATTACCGCAAGTATGTGAGGGGCTATGGCTCGATTGCAAAGCCTTTAACAGAGTTGCTCAAGAAAGACAGTTTTCAGTGGTCAGCACAAGCGCAAGAAGCATTCGAGGCATTGAAACAAGCGATGATTTCAACACCTGTGTTGGCGTTACCGGATCTTGAGAAGAAGTTTGTGATTGAATCAGATGCTTCAGAGTTCGGATTGGGAGCAGTGTTGATGCAAGATCGCAAGCCAATTGTGTTTTTTAGCCATGCATTAACAGCGAGAGAGCAACTGAAACCGGCGTATGAAAGGGAGTTAATGGCAGTAGTGTTGGCCATTCAGAAATGGAAACATTACCTGTTAGGCAGAAAATTTGTGGTTCACACGGATCAACGCAGTCTCAAGTTTCTTCTGGAACAGAAAGAGGTCAATATGGAGTTTCAGCGTTGGTTAACAAGATTACTGGGGTATGATTTTGAAATAGTGTACAAGCCGGGGTGTGACAACAAAGTGGCAGATGGATTGTCCAGGATTGAATCTCAGGGAACCACAGAAGTGTTGTCTACATTACTGGCATTGACAAGTCTGACAGTGATACAATTACAATACTTGTACCGAGAAATTGCAGAGGATAATCGGATTCAGCAACTAATTCAAGACGTATCTACAGGAAAGATTGCTAGTAAACATTATACAGTGAGGAATGGACGTTTATGGTACAAGCGACGATTGGTGATTCCGAAGTCGTCTTCAATAATACCCATACTGCTACATGAATACCACGATGGCCAGATTGGGGGACATTCAGGGATGTTGAAAACGCTGAAAAGAGTTCAGGCAATATTTCACTGGGAGGGGTTGCGTAAGCAAGTGCAACAGTATGTACTCGAATGTGCAGTGTGCCAGACGCATAAATATTCTACTCTGTCTCCTGCAGGTCTACTGCAACCGTTGCC